CATGAATAGGGAAAAAAAAAAAAAAGAAAAGAAAAACCATTCAGAAGCAGCCTCTTACGCTTGTGTTGTTTTTCCTGGGTGAGTGCTTGGAGTTGCAATTTTAAATTGTGTTTCAGAGCATGTGAGCTAAATTAAATTTAACACATCGGAGCAACTTCACTTAAAATAGCAATTCACGTTTTCTGCTAGCAGAAGTGTCACTAGTTTATGTGACGGGAAGAAAACGCTCAGAATTTCAGGATGCGCCTTCCACCCAGAGGCTGTGCCCTGCTGGTTGCGCCAGATGTCGTCTCCATCCGCTCCTCCCGCCCCGCGGTGCCCTGGGACACGGAGCAGCATGCACCCAGGAGCTCTGGCTTTGGGCTGGGCTCAGCCATGGGGAGCCGCGGCAGAGCAGCAGGAGAGGGAAGAGAGTGGGATTAGGGTGCTTGTTTGTCTGGTCCCCATGCTATAAGAGTGCCCCTGGCTGCCCCTGCCCTTCATCTAAATTTCTTACACCAAGTGTCGCAACGGGGGATAATTTTGCCCACAAAGGACAGACATCTAGCAATAGCTGGAGACATGTCGGGTTGTCAGAAAGGAGATGCTTCTGGCGTCTGTGGGCAGGGGTCGGGGCTGCTTGTGAAACCTGCGGTGCACAGGACAGCCTGCAAAACAAGAATTATTCAGCCCGAAGCATCGGCAGCGCCAAGGCTGGGAACTCTCACCTAGATCAGTGCTTCTCAAGCTATTCGCAGTGAAGGGCTGGGGCTGTTTTCTCCCCATCTGTTGCAGACTAACGGTTTTGTAAGAATAGAGTAGAAATAAATGATCAGGAAAAATGGCCATGAGTTGGATGTCACAATCAGTGCCAAGTTGCTGTAAAAGTTTCTTAATGCTTGCTGTCTATTTCTGTACTGCCCGATCGTGAGCCGGAGTCATAGTCACGGACCAGCATCCAGCTGTGGACCTGCGTGGTTCTCTCTCCTTCCTGGGTTTGGTGACCTCCCCTGGTAACAGCTTGGCTGCTGCCACCCTGAGTTATTTCCCTGTGGTCCCCATCCCCTGTCCACCCCTTGGGAATGAGGTCTTTGTAAGTAAAGTCTCACTACCCCTCCATGAGTGCGCCTTCTGCCCCTGAAAAGCCGGGCTGATTCTGCAGCATTTCCCTAAAAGCGGGTGCCAAGCCAGGGGTGTGGGTGGCAGGCCAAGGAGGTGATGGGGAGCCAGGTCTGGGAGCCCAGCTCGAGAGCTCGGGCTGTGCCTCAGAAGTCACCCTTGAAGTGTTCCGGGTGAGGCGCACGGCCGGCGCTGTGCGTCAGAGCAGCTCTTGGAGGTGCGGTGCGAGCACGGCCAGAGGCAGGAGAGTCATGGGAGGCGGATTCATCCAGGCCAGAGCCGGGGAGCCTGAGCCAAGTGTGCGGGCGGGCCGGAGGCCCAGGCGTGGGACTGCCAGCCAGGGTGCCGGTGTCACATGGGCAGGGAGGAAGGCGCGATCCAGCCTCCCAGCCGGCCCTGGGACGCAGTGGCTGGTCATGTTGGGACCATGAGGAGGTAGACAAGGCCACATGGGCAGCGGATGAGTTTGGTTCGGTCCCTCGAGTTTGAATAGTGCCCATTTCAGGTGACTTTCTCATGCATTTTGTCCTTTCTGTGGCCTGGAGTAGGGAGCGGTCCCACTTCTAAGAGTATGGGCTCGACTCCCAGTGGGTCCAGATCTGGCCGCAGCTCCTCCAGGGCCCGCTGAAAGTGGGAACTGCCTAGCTTCCTCCTTCCCTGGCTGGGAATGATAACCAACTCGGGGCTGTCAGGAGATTACAGCGGGGAAACTTCCAGGCACAGGATTAGACGTGGTGAACACTGGTTAGTGCTGCTGTTGGTAAAGGCTTGACTGTCAGAGCTGTTTTGAGCCACGTGGCCCCTGCTCTGCTTAAGTACACACACACACACGCACACGCACACATGCATGCACATATAAATGCACACATATGCACCACGCATGCACACATGCATGCACACACGCGCACGCGCACACACACACAGGTGCACATATGCACACACCCACGCACACATGGCAGAGGAACCAGGAGCAGCTTTCTTCTGAAGGCCAATTATTGTGCGAGGCTTTTCCAAGCCTGGCCCTTCACCCGGGAGCCAAGGATCAGCCTCACCCTGTCACACATCATTTGCAGCACGGCCCAGTTGTGGCTTCATCACACCATGACTTTCCCTGGGGAAGCAACGGGGAGAAAGGTCAAGCAGGGTCCCTCACAAAGTCCCCGGCAGAGGGCAGAAAAACAGGGCAGGGGCTACTGGCAGCGGTCAGGAGCACCGGCTCTGGGGCCAGACTGCCTGGTTCAGACCCCAGCTCCGCCACTTACTAGGGTGCCCTTAGTCCTTCTGTGTCTCGGTTCTTTACCAGTAAAATGGAAATGACAGTAACAGTAACGACCTCCCCAACAACAGTCAGGAGGACTAAATGAGGATTGATCCTCTGAAAGACCTTGAACGGCGGCTGGCACAGAGCAGGCCTCCGTGTCGGCTCCCTTCCTGTGTTTACTGCCGGTGCCAGCAGGCCCTGCTCCCAGGAGAAGACAGCGTAAACACTGCGGTGGTTCCCGGGCCGTGGGTCACTTCCCGTGTCCTGAGGTTGTTGTGAACATGAAATGTGGCGTGGAATGTGGACGGCCTCATCACATAACAGGTGTTCAATAAACCAGCCGGCCCACCCCACCCTCCAGTGGATCTGCGCTTACGTTGCTCGTGCCCCGGCCAGGTGACCCAGGGCTGTGACTCCGTGGACGGGCTGGGCCGCTGGGTTTGAACCCAGCTCTGCCGGTTGGGTTTGCCCCCCACCCCCGAGCCTGTTTCCCTGCAGGAGGAGGGGCATACCAGCGGCTGCCTCCGGATGCTGCTGGGGGACAATGTGAGGTGGTAGGCACAGGGCACCTAAGACAGCCTGGCACCCCGCTGCCCCGTGGACTCTGCCCTGACTGTTGTCGCTGTTCAGGAGGTGGTGGCTCCTGTCTCTCCAGCTTGCAGCCTGACCCGGGGAAGGAAGTGGGCCCTGTAGCACTGGCCAGAGGGCTCTGCCCAGTGACCTCCCGCAGGCCAGAGATCCTGCTGGCGGAGGAGTGTGAGGCACAGGGTCCCTGAGCGCCGTCCCAGGAAGGAGTGGCTGACAGGCCCCAGGCCAGGGAGGGCCTGAGATGAGGAAAAATGTCCCTTGGTTGTCATGGTGAGGAACAAGCCCGGACTGTGGACCCAGAAGCTACTGTTCAAGTCCCAGCTGTGTGACCTCGGGCAAATCACTGAGCCTCTCTGCGTCTCAGCCATTCCATTGCCTGGCATGAGAGCAGGCGTCCCCTGTCTCACAGGACTGCCACGAAGCCCAGCGAAACAGGTAGGCTAAGGGGCTGGCCTGCAGGCGCTGGCTGGACCCACCACCGCTCCCCCCAGCTGCCTCTGCTGCCCCAAGCACGGTAGCTATGGGTTGGGGTGAAGCAGGGGACAAGGCCCCTTCATGTGGCTTCCTCGGCAGCAGAGCAGCGGGGAGGGTGAAGAGGGAGGCAGTTTCCGCGCTGCCCGCTGATGGGATGTCAATACCTGCCCGTCATCTCCACTCCTTCATGCGGACATCTTGGGGGGAGGTTCTCAGCCTCTGGAATTTTATGTTTGAGATCTCAATTAAACTGCTGGCTCTGGGTTTGAGGGTTTGACACTTGCTGGTGAAGCCCTTGAATAGTAGGGGCAGGGAAGTGGAGGGTCCTTGGGGGGACGGGCTCTGGGAAGGCTGCAGAGAGGGGCGTGGCATCGTCAGGCTGAGGGGGACGTTCTGCAGGAGTGCGTAGGGGTAACCTAGGCATCCTCTCTGGAAACAGCACAGGTGCCATCCCCGGACAAGGCCTCAGCCATCAGGGCTGGCATCCAGGCTTCCTGTGGGTCCAGGCAAGAGAGCCCCAGGCTGCACGGGATGCCCCCCCGTGTGGGGAGACGGTTGCCCCATCAGAGCCTCCTGAGGCAGAGGAGCCCATCTAGGCCTGCCCGACCAGAGAGACTCTTTCTGCAGGTCTCTGGACGAGCCCGGCCTGCTAAGGCTATGACGGAGGACCCGCCCTCCCCCTGGGAAGCAGAATCCCCCTCTAGTCTCTGGCATTGCTCCCTCCGGCCCCACTTTGCCCCAGCAAACTTCTCACTCCCTAGGCAGGAGACAGCCATGGGGAGGTGAGGACGGCCTTGGCCCCCGAGGTCAGGACCGGCCTGCGCCTCAGTACAGCGCGGGACCCTGACAGGAGGCTCCGTCAATGTTGCTGGGTCTCCCAGGACAGAATGAGGTGGGACCAAGCCCTCAGGTGGGCTGGATGGGGGCCAGGGCCGGCCTGACTCACCACCCCCAGAGACTCTGAGAATATTGGCAGCGGGCTTGGCAGAAGTGGGGCTCGGTGTGGGGGTGCAGGGCTCCCTTTGTTTAATTTCTGCTTCTTCTTCAGGCCTTTAACTCTCTGCCTCTCTGTGTCTCTCCCTCTGCCCCTCCCTGTGTTTGCTCTCTCGTCTCTGCTGGGTTTCCCTTTTCTTCTCTGTGCCTCCGTCTCCAAACTGCCTCCCTGTCTCCACTGTCAACACACCCGCTTCATCCCCACCTCTTCGCTGTCTCTCCCACACCCGCTCATGGATGTCTGTGTACATCTCTCGCGGACGCTCTACCCTCGAATGTCTCTCACGCACTTCCGTCTCCACTCCTCACGTCTCTCGGACGCCTTCACTGTCCTGCCCTGTTCCTGTCACCCACCTGTCCCTTCCACTCCTCTCGCCCCATCCATCCTCCTCTCTCCCCTTCCCTGTCTCTTCACCTGTCCCCGTCTCTCCTGCTCTGCCTCGTACTGTGTCCCTGTGTCTGTCTCTCGCCCCCCACTTCTCCATCTGTCCTGGGTCTGTCATCCCCTCTCTGTCTATTTCTGACTCCACCCCCCCCTGCTGTCCCTCGCCACCCCTCCCCTCTGTGTCCACCCCCACCACCCTAGGATGATCCCAGCTTCCAACAAGGCCTTTGTGGTCACCAACCTGGTGTCAGGGACCGGCTACGACCTGTGCGTGCTGGCCGTGTGGGACGACACAGCCACGACACTCACGGCCACCAACATCGTGGGCTGCGCCCAGTTCTTCACCAAGGCCGACTACCCGCAGTGCCAGTCGATGCACAGCCAGCTCCTGGGCGGCACCATGGTCCTGGTCATCGGCGGCATCATCGTGGCCACGCTGCTGGTCTTCATCGTCATCCTCATGGTGCGCTACAAGGTCTGCAACCACGAGGCCCCCGGCAAGATGGTGGCTGCCACGGTCAGCAACGTGCACTCGCAAACCAACGGGGCCCAGCAGCCCGCTCTGGGCAGCGTGCCCGGCGGGGCCCCCGCGCTGGGGCCGCCCAAGGTGGTGGTGCGCAACGAGCTGATGGAGTTCAGTCCCAGCTTGGCCCGAGGCAGTGACTCCTCTTCCTCCAGCTCCCTGGGCAGTGGAGAGGCTGCGGCCCTGGGACAGGGTCCCTGGAGGCTCCCGCCCCCGGCCCCACGCCCCAAGCCCAGCCTTGACCGCCTGATGGGGGCCTTTGCCTCCCTGGACCTCAAGAGTCAGAGGAAGGAGGAGCTGCTGGACTCCAGGACTCCAGGCGGGAGAGGGTCTGGGACGTCAGCCAGGGGCCACCACTCGGACCGAGAGCCACTGCTGGGACCACCTGCGGCCAGGGCCAGGAGCCTGCTCCCTCTGCCCCTGGAGGGCAAAGCCAAACGCAGCCATTCCTTCGACATGGGGGACTTCGCGGCTGCAGCTGTGGCAGCAGGGGGGGTGGCCCCAGGTGGCTACAGCCCCCCGCGGAGGGTCTCGAACATCTGGACAAAGCGCAGCCTCTCGGTCAATGGCATGCTCCTGCCCTTTGAGGAGAGTGACCTAGTGGGGGCCCGGGGGACTTTTGGCAGCTCCGAATGGGTGATGGAGAGCACGGTGTAGGCTCAGAGCAGGGTGTCCTCCGTCCAACGCTTGCAGGTAGAAGGAGGGAAAGAATCTTCACTGGCGAGTCTCTGTGGGGTTTCCATGGTGATGTTTACATCCAGGGACAGTTTAGTCTCCCTGTCAAAGGCCTCCCCCACACAACCCATGCCACCTTCCCAGGCCTGGCCCCCACCACCCCCCGGGGTGTGCTCAGGGAAAGCAGCCTCGACGGCCAGTGTGGGACTGAGCCCTGAGTGTTGGGAAGGCGGGGCCCTCGCCTTTCTGACCACAAATGCAGTGTACAAGCAAGTGGCTTTGGATTGCTTATGGTTCCGGTGTTGTTTTTATTTCTTAATTTATTTCCTTCCACCTCCCAAATGCCTCCTCTTCATTCCCACAGAGAAGGGAGTTTGCTGGTCAGGCCCCAGCGGCCCGGCAGCGGGCGGGCACTGCCACCTGGGGAGGGGCTGGCTGCTTCCACACTTGTTTGGAGGAAGGCGGTGGAGTCCCCTGTCCAGACCCCTCGTTGTTCACAACCGTCCCCACACTTGGGAAGGCTCAGTGACCCCCCACACCTGACCCAGCTTCCTCCGCTTCTCCAACATGACTGCCCACATCCATCACACCCGCTGAAACCAGAGGGTGACGTCGGGGCTCCTCGCGGGGCAGGGAGCAGGCCTCGCTGGAGGTCCTTGACTCTTGGAGGTCCCCTGAGATGTTTGCCTCTCTTGGGGGGAAGCTGAGACAGAAAGTCCCCATGAGCATGCGGTGGGCTGAGGGGACTTCTCTACGGACGGCAGAGCGGGTTGGCGTAGGAGCACTGGACTTCAAGTCCAAAGCTCTGAGTTAGGGTCCGGAGCCACCACCGAATAAACTGGCTGGAAGCATTCGGGGCACTTTTCTCTCTTGGACTCCAGCCTCCTAGTTCAGAAAGTACTGGGGTCGTACCAGGCCTCCCATTCCGTCCCAGTCCTAAGGACTACTGCACTCCCCCGACTTCACACATCGGGGTTGCAGCTCAGCGGCACCAACACCACAGGCCGGCAGAGCCGTCCCGCTGCCTCCTGCCGGCCACCCGGAGGATCCGAGAGGCTGTGGAGGGGACGCGGAATCTTTTTAGTATCTTAGAAGTCTGAAGCTTGAAGAGGGGTTTGCGATCATCTCAGCTTTCACCCTCTCTCCCCTTCCCCCCAGAGTATGAGGGGATTGCCCAAGGTCACACGGGGAGTTAGTGCCAAGTCAGGGCAGAGGCCAAGGCCGTCAGCCCCCTCGGGGTGGTGGCTGGGATCCGTGCCCAGGTCTTCCCCCTAGCAGGGCGGTTCTGCGTCCAGAGTCTGTCCTTGGTTATTCCTGAAGAAGCTGGCTCAGGCGGGATGCGGGCGGCCTGCATGGGTGCCCTCTGTGAGGAGGGTGCACCCCGGAAATGGTGGGATGGCGGCGGGCAGCCGCCTGGGCTCGCCTCACGGGAGGTGACCCACTGACCCACAGGGCCGAGGGCAGAGCAGGTGCGGCCAGGGAGAAGCGCTGCGGAGGCCTCTAAGGACCTTCCCCCGCGTCTCTGTCTCTCCTGGTCTGTCTGCTCCAGGTCTCTCTCCTCCTCGCCAACGCACTACCTCTCACTTGGTCTCCCCAGCTCGTTCTCCCCGCCCAAGCCTGCGCCATCGACCCCCAGCCTCTCTCTTGTCCTTCTCCCTCCTCCTTTTACTTGCCAGCCACACAGCACACAGGTGAGTCTATCTTGGGTTGAGAAGTCCCAATGGGCTCAGACCTGGAGCTGAGCTGGTGGCCCACCCGCACCCAGAACTCACAGGGGAGGGTGGGAACTGTCTATGCAGGGTCGCCTTCTGGCTCCAGCCTTCGTCCCCCTCCCCTCCCCGTCCTCTCTCCACCTTCCCTCTACCCCGTCTCCACCTTTCCCTTCCTGTGACTCTGCCTCCCCCAGTCCCTTTCTGGCCCTGGCAAGGTCACTAACTGGTCCTGGCAAGGTCACCAATAGACCAGGCCAGTCTCTTCCTGGGCCACAGTTAACTTTCCCCAGCCAGCCCCAGTCATGGGGGCGCCCACAGGACGGGGCGACTCCACAGGAAGGCTCCCACTCCCCTCTCCTCCCACCGTTCTCCTCTCCTTTTTCTCTGCACCTTCTCACTCAGCCTTGCAAAATGCAGCCATTGAGGAACCGACCCCGAATACCACCTTTCTTTTTGCCTTTGGGCCCAGACACCCAGAGGGACAGCGGGGGACAGCGGGAGGGGAGGAACCAAACGTCCGTTCCCGCCAGTGGCTCCGAGCTCTGTTGTGACATGATGTGTCCTTGCGCTGTGTTTGTCATGTTCCTGAGTTGGGGTTTGGGAACGCATCATACATGTGTGGTCAGAACATACATGCTAATCTTTGCTGGAAAAAAAAGTGTACAGTGAAATGTACAGTTTTCAAAACAACCAACTACACTTCTTGGGAGAGAGAAAAAAGAACCTTCTCGTGTCTGTGAATGTGTGCTGTTCATTCTTCTGGAAACCGCGGTCTCCGAAAGGTGGCTGGAAGTGCACTTCCCCTTACACCGTGTTTGTCACCGCCCGGCGGGAGCCTGCTTCCCGCCAAGTTCATGTTTAAGACGGAAACCTTCCGAAATAAGAGGATGAGGCCATCCTCTGAGGAAAGGGCAGTGAGCGATCTGAGGGAAGCTCCAGGTTAGAGCAGCCGCCTCTGTCCCCAGCTCCCCTGACTGTCCCACCTGTAACAGATTTTCTCAGACCCCACCAGCCTCTTCACGGGACTGTGGCCGCCACCCGACTCGGCCACTAGGGGCGCAAGCGTACCTTCCACCATTTGGGTTGAGCCCGGAGGGGTTTCCCACTGGGGAAGCAGTCCAACAACCCAAAGCCCAAGTGCAGACACAGATGAGCTTCTGGGACACAGCTCCCAGCCCTGTTTTCATCCAATGTCATCCCTGTCCACTAGGAAGAAAGCGAGAGCCACAGTGTCTTTGTACGTTTTCCAGTCGCCACATTAAATGGAGCTTAAGAAACAGGTGAAATTGATTTTAATAATATATTTATTTCCTCTAACTGATTCTGTCCAAAATATTATCATTTCAACACGCACTCACTATAACGTGATCAATGAGACATTGACATCTTTTGGCACAGAGTTTTGTGTGTGATTTACACTCACGTCCCAGCTCAGCTCAGCTCAGACCAGCCCCTGGGAGGCTTCCGAGGCTGCGTGGCCAGCACTGGCCACCGCATGGACAGCACGGCCCCGGCCACGCAGTGACTGACATGGAGGCACAGCTCCTGGCAGAGGAAGAAACCAGTCAGTGAGCACCTGCTGTTTTCAGGTGCTGTGTTGGGGTTTCACATGCATGTCTCACTGAACCCTCACTGCAGCCTCTCAAGGTAGGTATTATGCCAGTTTCACAAATGGAAGGACCTAGGCTGCCCTGGCCGGTTTGGTTCAGTGATTAGAGCGTTGGCCCGCAGACCATTTAAGTTGTGGGTTCAATTCTGGTCAAGGGCACTTAACTCAGTTGCAGTTTGTCCCTGGCCCTGGTCAGGGTCATGCAGGAGGCAGCCAGTGGGTGTGTCTCTCTCTCATCAATGTTTCTCTCTCTCTCCTTCTCTCCCTCTCTCTCTCTGTCCCACTCTATCTGAAGATAAACAGAAAAATACCCTCGGGTGAGAATTTAAAAAAAATTAAATGAAAGGACCTAGGCTCAGAGTGGTTAAGTAGCTTGCCCAGGTACACAGTAAGTCTGGCTCAAAGCCTTAGATCTTTCCTATCAATGCTGCGTCCCCTATCCTTTGTCCCTCCCTTCCACCTGTCATCGATGGCGATTTACACTGACTGAAGTACACTTACAGCCAATCTGAAAGCCCTTGGTTTGGCCTCGAGGTCTGGTACTATTCTCAGAGTGTGCCTCTACGCAAGGGCTTCAGCGGTGTCTTCTGACCTCACACTGGCCTTTCTGGCCCTTCTTGGCTTGTAACACATTCCCTCCCTTGGCCAGGAGGATCCCCAGGCTCCAGACAGTCCTGCCCAGCCCACCCTGCCCAGATCACCCCTTCTCCTAACCTGGCGACTCGTTTAATACCTTTCCACTTCCAGCCTCGTTTGTTCTCCCCTCTCCTGAAAGCTTATCACTTCATCCGTTTAAGATAGAAAGCCTCATACCAGTTTGCTGCCACGACCAGACCCATCATCGCCCACCTCTTTCTACTCCAAAACCCTTGTCCCTGTCAGGAGAGATGCTTGCACACCAGACCCTCCTTGCTGATAGAGAGAAGCCGTCAGCCCCGTGACCTTTTGCAGAAGAGAGGAGGCTGATACATTCTGAGCCCGCTTGAATTATTAAGCTTTCTGAAAAATAATTCATCCCCGTTTCCAAGTTCTTAATAATGAAACATCCTTCAGGTCCGCCTCATAGGAGAATGATGTTTTTCATTCCGCCATCACAATAGTGTTGATATTCCAAAAGAACTTAAATGCATGCTTTTTTTTTTTTTTTTTGCAGGGGGGTTATAATTTACAGCCGGGTAAGAGGAAGGTCATTGTCTCAGATTTCCTCCTTTCCAAATGAATAGTAACTTTTCTCCCAACGTCTGAGGGTATCGGTGTTTCCTGAGTACAGCCTGGGGACTTCTGTCTGCAGTGAAGGTCTCAGGGCTTCACAAGCTGGGGGGCTCCCTCTGCTCCTGCAGCCACTGGGGTCTCTGCAACCGCTGCTGGTAGAACAGACGCACGTGCTCAGCAGAACAGACTGCTGGCAGGCGGCAGTCAGATCTGCACACACGGTTTTACATTACACACCGATTCCCAAACCCAGCCATTCTATGAGACACAGTTGGCAGTAGGGAATATTTGCTGTGATAGGAAGGCTTCTCTCAGGTAAATACCTGAGGTTCCGACCCATCCAGATCGCTCTCCCAACATCTAAAAAGAACACTGCCCCTTCACAGTTAAAATGTTTGTACTTTCAGTCTTGAAACCAACGATGGCAGTTTCTCAGCTTTCATGATCTCATTCAAGGTTCCCCGGCTCACGGCAGTCCCTGTTACACAAGGCTCATTGGGTTCCCTGGACTGCAGCCTCTAGCAGAGGGAGACTGATAGGCTTCCCCGCAGACCAAAGCAGGACGCTGGCCTTGACCTCCAAGCTGCCCTGTGTCCTGTGATCACAGCCACTTAGCATCTCCGTCAGGTGCAGCGGCCTTGCCTCATGTCTTCATTTTGGACAATGTTTGGCACCTTTCTGCTGCTCACCAGTTCTGGGGAAATGGGCCCAGACTGCAGGCTCGGGGTTGGTGATTTTCCTCGTTGAGATAATCGAGT